AATATGGCCATTGCAAATGAATTGTATGCACTGTTGATCATGCGCAAAGTAAACTACAAAATGTGAATTGGCCTCAAACTAGGAGGGTAGCAAAAGGAAATGATCTAGTTTGTTTGGGTGAAATGCCACAGTCTGATGACCATCGCTGACGTCATGAAATTAGCCTTGCTTTTTGATATTTGGCTTTTAGTGCAAAAAGGGCCCTGAGCGTTTATTTTTGTACATTGTACTTGAGTAACGCAAAAAAATATAGCTCTTGCGTACGTACGTGCAAAACCTGAGATCATATTCATCTTTCAGGCTTAACAAAACATTCCTGCTGAACGTTTCACCTCTGAAGTGAAATGGATATTAGTCTCCCATGTGTGGTTGACTCGTCATTTCATCATTGCTCTTAAAATAGGAAGGACAGTATCGCGATGGGAAAAAAAATGATTCAAAGACCTTTACAAGACACACTTCATGGCTATTCCCCGGACGATCACTCATCACACACTCCACATGAAAGCAATCTTGGAGTTGAATTTGCAAGAAATATGCCAAATGGCGGGGCGCCAGCGCAACACAACTCAATAATGTTCTCAAGCCTTAATCGAATGTTAATAATGCACTGTACGGCAAGGAATATTACACCGGTGCCCATTGCTTGAGTACTTGGCACTTCCATGCGTGTTTTTGTAATATGTGGCTTAATTAGTTACACAGAAACTCTGGTTGATCTATTGCCAATATTTAAATTCTTGCACTGACTCTGCATGTACATGTAGGAAACTAGAAAGCACTCAGAGACCGCAAACCTCCGCCAAGGCTAAACAATTCCCTGCCACATTGTCAGTACAAAATCAGTCCAAAATCTAATCAATTTGTACTTGTACCAAGGACCACCCCTTAAGAAAATTTTCATGAAATCCGTCCATAACTTTTTGAGTTATCCTGTTCACAGACAACCAGCCAACCAACAAACAAACAAACCAAAGCTGATGAAAACATAACATCCTTGGCTGAGGCAATAAGTTTTGTTCAGGGAAAAGACTGGTCAGTCCATTTTTTTCAAAGTTCAGCCCCTACCCCCTGCTGAAATCGTCCAAATAAATCACATTCCTTCGGCCATTCTCGGCATTCCATAGGAAAGGGCTCTGGTCATTCAGCAGGCACAGCTGTCTGGTTATAGAGGAGGAGTGTCAGGCTTTTTTTTATTATCTGCAAGATTTAAGAAGAAAACAAGAAGTAGTGAAGGGTATGGAAATGTTCGTAATGATATCTGTTGTGTGATGATAGATGAGAGATTATTATTTGATTTGAAAGACGAGCGCTGTTGGCTTACTGACATTTCAAAAGTGTCCTGACATTTTACGCTTTGCTTGTGCCTGCAATCGCTTAAAGAATTGGAACTTGAATCCGGGTGCGCTAACACTTAGCTTTGATGTGGAAGAACGGACTCTTTCCCTCCAGAAATGTGACATTATCACAAATAAAGTTCCACTGAAAATATTTATGTAGGCCAAAGGGCTATGACTTAATGCTTGGCGTAACTTCTGGACTTTCCTGATTCCGATCTGTTTACAGAATTGTGTTCAATGATCCATGTTTCCCAACTGCTAAATTTACACACACAAATCGCACGGGGGAACTTCTATTGACTTTCCCCTGCCAGAATTCCTCAGTCTTTTTAGAAATGGTGCATTCTTGCAAGAGAATTGAGTTTTCAAAGCGTCTCCTGCACCATTTATTCAAGCTCTCTTTTCTTGAAGGAAAAAAACCCCAGTAATTACCTTCAGGCTTGCAGGTTCTCCAGAGGTGATGAAAACCTCTTTTGAAAGTCTTGCCCCCTCCCTTTTGTCCGAGGGTTCCTCAAGGCTCCTTCCAGGGACCTGTCTTGCACCCCTCTAGTACCCCTACTCAATTGTCTCGTTACTCAACAGTTGAATGCTTGTCAATAAGTGCTTTCTTCCTTTTGGTTCCTTGGAAAAGATATGTGCTGATAAGCCCCTTCGTTTTTTCAAACCTCTGCTAATGTTTGCTATCGGTACTTTCTGCAATTTCTGAGGGCTTGTTTTTTATGAGCCTCTACTCACTTCCTTTTAGATGTGCTAAAATTTCCGGCAGTTAAAAACTTTCTAAATTGTAAAACTGTAATACCAATTGACAGCTTTTTCCTGGAGTAGGAAGAAATAAATAAACTACCATGTTAAGCATATGTAAACTCGTAATTGTTTCCAAACAATATGGAAAGGGTCTTTCCGGAATCTGCCAAAAAAATCCAGCACTGTGCCATAACTCGGTGGTCACAACCTCTTCTCATGTAGAACGCTCTGTTCATTCGTACAAAATGTACTTCAAACGAAAAGGGGACGTCAAAACCCATGTGAAATAACAGTTCTGAATCCAACAGAATACTGCAAACCCTGGGCTTTGATATTGAAGAGTTCGGACTAGTGTACGTCCGTAGTCCTAGTCCTTGTACAGAAAACATTAACGTAGATGCACTTTTGTACGATTTGCAATCATTGCAAACAAAAGTCAATTCCATAAACACAGGTGGCTTAGTTTCCTGTACACCTGTCTTTTTAAAAAATGTACATGTACATGCACATGTAATTTCCAATTACAAAATTAGTACAAGTGTACATGTATATAAACCGGCACTTTCAAATTCATAAATCATAGCAATATTAATTTAAGAATTCGTTGTGTATGTATTATTTCCTACGTGCATAAAGTGAAAAGCGTAAACATCCCCAAATTCTTGAAATATTTTTCTTCAGAAGTTGCTTCCGGGTCAGAAAAATCAATTTCTGCGGTATTATGGTCCAGTGGCCCGTATTATTACTTAATGGTAGATCAGACTTTTGCAGGTCAAAACCCCGAATTTGGCACCAAGCGACCAACACCCTAGTGTGCTGTGGGGAGACCCTCTGTCACAGCGTTGGTCTCTCGCCCACTGAACAGTGTTCAGTTTGCTGACATTTGCGGCAATATTGTGTAGGAGTATGGGGGCGTCATTGTAGCCGGCCTGTTCACAGAGTGGCCTTGGGTAACCCATTTTGAGTTTTCTGACAAACAAAAATCAACAAATCAGCAATAATATCATGCATGAGCAGTCATACTATGAACTGGAAATGACAAATGAGTTTTACTGAATACACGTATCTACACACGGAAACTGTACCTGTACTGATGCAACACAAGGAAAAACACACATTCATTTTGAACACGATTGGTCAACATTTTCAGCTAACTTTTATTATACCAGTTGGAAACCTTATCAATTTTGTTCATCTTTTTCAGTGTATCTCTAGAGAGCAGATATATGAATCCTTGTTGTAGTTTGTACAATAAGATTGACTATCCTTTGTCATTTCGGTGGTTCATTTGATGGACGGGGTGAAATACGTACTGTACATGTACAATATCCATTAATTACTTGAAATTTACAATGATCTCAGTCACAACACACAAATGAGACATTCAACATAATTTTGTCTAATCTGTGATAAGTTTGACCGTTATTACACAAACTTAACCCCCAAAATTATTCACAAATTCTATTTACAGTGCAGCTAGTGTACCTACTGCACTACATGTAAATTTACCATTCACTGAAGTACCAGTGTGGCTTAAAGCACAAATGACAACATTCCAAGTTCATAAATTACACAGAAACAGTCTTGTGTTGGGGAATGCCTGCTGTCAGCCAGCTTTTATTATCAGGAATTCACTTTCTTTTCTGAAGAGGCGGCTCCTGACATTTCAATAAAAGTTGACATTCCATACTTGGCCCAGTATGCTGGACTTTTATTGTGGGCCGGCCTTGACTGGCTTTTGTGGTGGAGATGAAATGGAGTGTTTTTGTTTAGGATCACAATTGGAGAAAAAAAAAATCAGTTGAAAAAGCATTCAGTTATACTACCTACATGTGTATAGTCGGTGAATTGTATAAAAGATGAGATGATAAAATACATGTAAATGAAGGAATGCCGAATGGTGCTTATTACAAACTACATGATGTATATGTGTGTACATACACTGTAAGTGTACATTTGGAGGCTTTATTTAGAAATCCTACACTCGTAAGACATATTCCATTAAAAAAGCAATTAAGTTCCAGAGATTAAGTTATGAAATATAATGGAGAATTCATTATAAAGTGTCGCTTCTGGTTGACGTACGAAAATCACGGCTCAGTTGCTGACTCGGCTCCAGGCACTTTATCACATTGCATAAAATTACAATTAACGTTTAAAATAAACGGCACTGCGAGGATGAATTATTAAAGTTGATGATCCTTGGGAACTTTTCCTTTCGTTCCCACCTCGTTCGGATTGGGAGCTTAGCGATAATGCCAGGGACGATCCGGGCGAAAAATTTATCGTTTAACAATTTAGCGTTTCCCAGGTGTGGGAACGGATTGCGGCTGTCCAAATCCAATTGGGAGGTGTCGGGACAAAGTACCAGTCTGCCGTCACTGCGACTTGATCTTTCTATCATTCATTTGCCGCCGGCCGTTAAGGCAATACGGTGAATCTCGTTACGAAGTCAAACACCCGTTTAATTTTGGAGTTGACATCGACGTGTAAAAGGATTACGTTTGCTCGGCAATGTCGGAAAAAGAAACTTTATCTATTAAAATTGGGTTTTCACATTTAGATTGCATATTTTGTCGATCGACTTGAAGGAATTGTGCTTTGTTTATTTCTTCTATCTGGAACTGTACCTCAGAAAATTCTGATGGATATCGACAGAAATTCTTGTCTCAATTGTCATGAGGTGTATAATAACAAACACGTGAATTTTTCATTTGGCGAGGACGCGAAAGCCACCAGACTGTGTAGGTTTCCATATGTGACCCTTGTTGAAATGCCATGCCCGTATCAACTGCTGTTTCATGTAGATGATCCTGTCAGCATAAAACAGCCTCACATTGCATACATGTACACATCAGACTTTTCACTTTGATGCTAATGTATTCACTTCCTGTTTTTTCTCTTTTCTTTCTACAGTTCAACTTTGTAGGCAGAATACTTGGGCCTCGTGGTATGTATGCCAAACAGCTTGAGAAGGAGACAGGGTGCAAGATCATGATCCGAGGAAAAGGTTCCATGAGAGACAAAAAGAAGGTAATAATTTTTCCCCAGAAAATATCCAGCACATGTACCTTTTGCTAAGGAAGAGGTGAAAAAAACTCAACCAAAAATCAACGGAAAGTTATACAATCTTGCAAATGTAATTCTGGGACATTCCAATTAACTCTTGTTTTCAGTCACAGGCACAATTTAAAAAAAAAAATGTATGAGATTTACATTTCAACATCCCAAATACAAGGATAATTTGATAAATAAAGCCAAAACCTTATTTAGTACCTTAAATTCAAAACTCAAAAGATTTAGTTAAAAATACTTTACTATTTCATTTATTTTAAATTTCAACACATGGGACAGTTTTACATACGAGATTAATTTTATGCTTGAGAAAAAAATGGTATTAAGAATCCCCAACCCTCCCCCTTCCAAAAAAAATGTTAAGGTTTAAGAAAAGAACCCCATATCTCATCCAGAATTGACACGACTCTTGATTTACATGTATGTGCATATGTAAGAGTCACTTTCTAATTAAGTGGTTATCCATTTCCTCGCGTCTCGTGTTTGTGTACTTTTCATTTTATAAATACGCCCAGCCTTTGTGCCGGCAGTGTATAGCCAACATACACCCTAACCATCGCTCACTCGTGGGGCCGTGTCGCTAGCCACTCTCGTGTTACACTCATTAGCGCTGCTCTACGCTGGCCCTGGCCCTATCGCACAATGACTCTACCAGCTGGCCGAACTATGCGGTGGCAGGTTACCGGTTTAGATATCATTTCATAACGGGGAACCGGGCAGAAATGCCATGCAAAGGTAACACCATCCCCCCTAGTTGCTGAAATTCTTTATTGGCTCTCGCCAGATCCGGTGTGATCCGACCCACCTTGGAAAAACATATTTCTTTTGGTATTTGGCCTTCTCGTTATCTCTAGCTTTGGGGGGAAAATTGAGATGGACCCCGGCTGAAACCGAACCTTCCCGGTGAAAATTTAGTCCTAACATCGCTGGAAAAACATCTGTCATATTCAGCTTGTGGGGGTGTACAAATACCTTCTGTGGCAAAAGTTTCAATTTCTTTTCGCAAGAAAACCAATCCATTAGGAAGGTTTTGTTGTTTGCTAGCAATTTTGCCTATGGTTACTTCTGCAGGGCAGAAGGAAGACTGACGAGTACTGTACTGCCATATCAATAATTTATTTGAATAGAGATAACGATATTTTATTTCATTCTCATCAATACAATTTATATGCGGCTCATCTGTCTTCATGTGTCTGTTGGCTGCGGGAGTAGTGGCGGCCAGTGTTTAATATTCTCACGGCCGCGCACTATCAATGAGACCTTGACTTTTCATTTTCATTTCAAAGAAGCAATCAGCTTCTCCTTCTGCCTTGCGATCCTTCCCACCTGCCCCCGGCCTGTGTGAAACATCCAGCGTACCCCGGTAGCTTTGAGGGAAAGCTGTAAAATTATGCAAATCTTTAATCTTGTCGAATCAAAACAAGTACGTGTAACAGGGAATTCCACAGTAGCCTTTTTGAGAGCGTGTTCATTTCACTCTTAGAATCCTAACATTAAGCCCATACTACCGGTATATAGATAAAAAAAAAAATCCATTTTTGCTGAGGTTAAGAAATTTTTGGGAAAAAAATGCATTTAGATTTTTGATGAAAGTTTGAAAGTGTATAGTTTCATAAGATCAAAAGTCCCCATGTAGTTGGAAAGTGTATGGTTTTGTCAGATAAAAACTCCACATGTCTGTAAATTTTACTTACGTTGTAATTCCTCTTTTCAAACAACTGCATTTGGAGTATTTTAAAGGATTCAATATGACAGTGCCCAGACACTGTGTGTTACTTCATATGGGGCTTGATGTTCCAATAGTCAGAGAACGAAACTGAACATGCTTTTGGGACACAGTAAAGTGTTGGATTTTGTTAGATTCAAGAATGTTCACCATTTCCATGGGAGCTGTATTGACCCAATCCTCCAGGAATTTTTGACGAAGAGCCTTCCTGAATCCTCTCAAAATCTTCCACTGTGTACAAAGCCTACTGTCCATGTAACATTATCATGATTGGACTCCACCTTTCTCAATCCCCAAAATACTCCTGAAGTCAATTTCACTGGGGTGCTTAGCAATAGACCATTATCATGATGCAGCTGTCTGATTTTTTTCCCATTCAAATCAATGTTTACAACCAAAGCGAGGCTGGAAGGAAAAATAATCTGGTTCCTTTTTGCACAACAAAATTGTCATTCAGTACTGTTATTGGATACAGGGAACATGACTGAAATGGTGGCAGCATGATAAAGGTCTATAGCACAGAAACGTGCATAGCACACAAAAAAAACACATTTGCTTAGCAAATTTAGGCAACCAGTCAAAATGTCATGCAATGAATGACGCTTTTGACTGATTCCCTGTTGCCTTTTGCTTAGTACTGGTACATCATTTTACTAGGCACTATTTTAGGCTAAGGTTCCTGAAATTGGCCCTGGTGGATATTGGAGGATCTGGGAATGCCTAGGACAATTCTCGTCACCCATGTACATGTATATTATGCAAAATGCCCTTTTCGTTTCACACATTGCCGGTCTGGAAGGAGGAAATGAACAAAGACAAGCACAACTGGGAGCATCTGGCGGAGGAGCTGCACGTGCTGGTCACCGTGGAGGACACCGCCAACAGAGCCGGCCTCAAGATGGAGCGCGCCGTCTCACAGATCAAGAAGCTACTAGTGCCCACGGTAAGTGCGCATCGAAGTCTCGCGTGAGTGCACAATACTGACTTTTATTTGATCTCTTCCGTCAGTTTTATTGGGTGCGTTTGGAATAGTGGTTTGGGTTTGTGACTCATGATCAGAGGGTCAGGGGTTCGAATCCAGGCGCTCGTCCTTGGGCAAGGCACTTCATCCCCACTTGACTCTGAGTATGAATGGCATTAGCTGGGGAGGGACCTGCGATGGACTGGCATCCCATCCAGGGGGAATACAAATATTCTCAGTCTTTCATGCTACTGAAACCGGAGATACATGTAAATGCTGGTCTGATGGGCCACATTGGCTCATGACAGACTTTACTTACTTCCATCAGTTCAGTTTCATCCAATATACCACTTTTTAAAGAACTGTGTTTGTTTTTAATCAATTCCTCGTTGAACAAAGAAATTTACTGGAGTGATTTGAACCTGCAACCTCCTGAGCACTATGCAAAGTTCTGCCAATCCCAATTCAGCTATCAAGCCCTATTTTGGCAGTCTCCCAAATAGTTAATGGCGAACGGGGCAGAAGTTGGAAGCCATAAACCTTTATGTGTAATGCGATTGCAGCCAAAGTCCAAACGATTGCAACATCAGCAATGATGGAGAGAATGTAAGCCTGGAAAATGGTGATTGGGGATAATTTGAGAGGATGCAGCTCATGTCAATCTCAGCATTGAGCCCAACTGCTTTTTATCATGGCTGAATATGTTAATGGCAATTTTAGTTTTCATTGTTCAGTTCAGGAAAGCTTATTTGTTCACGTAACATCTACCACATGTTTACTTTCACAGTGGATGATGTTTCCTTAATGAAAAAACATCTAACCACCATACATGATGCAAACATCAAGCATACATCCTTGTTTGTGGCAGGGGCTGCATGTCCAGTTGTTCTACACACGCACCTTGCTATGAAATTATCTGATGCATTCACTCGCAGTCCGAGTTGTCCCTTTCTCAGAATTTTGACCCCAAACCTTATCCTCATTGTTATTTTACCGTCCACCGTTGTCTAATCAGACAGTCGCAGAGTTTCCTCCCAACTGTATCCCTACACCAGGAAATTCTAACTGTTCCCCTGAAGTTTGCTTCCTTTTCCTGATGTCCTCGTTATTCTGGAAGTGTATGTGTCCTTGACATCAAGAAAAACAAAGTTGTACTCTGTGTATGATTAGTGTGCTGATACCGGTAGGAAGTGAACATGGCGTTTTGGATAATCCCACGCTTTCCAAATGTTTCCGACTCCAAAAACAGCAGTCAAATTTCAATTTCAATTTCATGGTTTCGAGACAAATTGAAAGAATCCAGACCTTCTTCAATCTGACCCTCTTCTGGTGACCCCTTTTAGTTTCAAACTCTCATAAACCACAAGCGCAGGCATTTACATGGACTTATTAAAATTCCACAAGCAATCCTTCCGCATTGCAGACTAACAAGTTCAACCACATACAGGCTTGAGTATGATGGTCTTTGGTGAGGGGACCACAGTCACCAAAATTTGGTGACTTCATTATGATTCAGTTTTCAAGCACTTATCATGGGATCTTGAGAAGATGTTTTCTATTCTTAGAAGTATGAGTGGTCCTTCAGCACTTGCCAGACATTTCATTGTCATATCCACTCCAACATGACATCTGAATACTGGTTTAGCATCCTAGAAGTTCTGGTGACATTTTGCAAGCCTTGGAAGTACATAAAAGAGCAGTAGAAGACTTAACCACCACAAATAAACAAACCCCAGACCACTTGGACAACTCAAGTAAATATACACAAGTGCCAACTGTTTTCAAATTTGGCTAATACAGTAAATAGCGTTTATATGTGAAAAGCCCCCGACTTGTTTAGAATATTTTCCCTCCGAATTGTGGAATGACTCTTTCTCAATGCGGATCTAGTTTATATCGACCCTTCCCCTGAGGGGCTTGTCACCAACGTGGAGAAAAAGAAATGTTGTTGCAGCCAAACCCTGGACAGACAATCTCAGTTTGTTGACTTGCTGCTGCCAATTGGCTTCTTTTTATTCAATTCCCATCCTCTAACGCCCTTAACAAAATTTCTATCAGGTCCAGCTGGCCTGGTATTGATCCTACACAGTGGGAGGATTAGCGATTGTTTACGGGCCACAATGGCCTCTTTTTGGGATGCATCTGAATGCTTCCAGAATTGGAAGTCTGCTGCTTGAAAGCTTTTGGCAGTGGGTGTGTTTTGCTTTGTTGCATCCCTGGCATCAGCAACAACAAGTCTGTTTTTCCCCCCAAGGGATTATCCTGTTTTGTTTCCATTTAGGGAGACATCAGTGAACCGTGATTGGCCAGTAGTTTTGGAGTAATGAGTCTCCATTTTATCACGGCTTTGTGAGTCCGAAACCCCCTCTGAGCAAGTTTGTAATAGCCCCCCCACTTACCAACCCTGATGCCTTGAATGGTACACCTTTGGAACCTTTGAGGATTCACTCCCAAGACCTCAAATAGAAGCTTTTACTTGAAAAAAAAAGGCAATTTGGCAGGCCCGCTTCGCCAAAGAAGACATTGATGAACGAGTGACAGAGGGTAATTTTACCCCCATCATCCTTAATTAATTGGTGTGGCATTCATTCATGAGGCTGAATCATGGAGTGTACCAGGTAATTTTGGCTAGCTGCTGTTAATTAGAAAATGCCCCCAGATGATAGCTATCATCTTTCATCAGATTTTTTGGAGCCGGCCACCCAACTCTGTTCAAAATGGTTGCAGAAAACAGTCAAATGTACTTTTCACTCCATTAAAAAGCCACTTTTTGTTGATGTTAGAGTTTATAGACTACTACCAGTACCAGCCAGTTGTTTAAAATCTTTCTCCTGACCTCAACCACCGTTTGATCATAAATTTGGGCAGTATACCACCTTGTGTCAATACTTAGGGGTCATGTCTTATTTTCATAATCTTCCCGGCTATTGTAAACAAAATAAAAATGGTATTTGGTTTGTGGGGAGGTCATGATTTGATTGATCTGACTATGCAGAGTAAAACCTGGTTGGCTGGGGTGGGTTTTTTTGGTAAAAAAGGACAAGATTTTAGACCAAAATAAAGATATCCTGGGGTTTACCGTTTGACACCAATCAGATTTAAAGGTTCTAGATTTTGAGGAACTTCACATTCTTAACAAATTCCAAAAGTTTTGAGCTTTTGGCCACGGAGATTCCAAAAGTCGTTCTTGAGGTTTTGGCCAGGGAGATTTCAGTAGTACCTACACATGTATACCATTGGATTATCCCAAAGGCCTTCTGATAGATGAGACACAGCTGTCTGGAAGCGTGGAGGGATTGGCAGACATTCCAAGTGTTTACCATAAATTATATCAGATTATGACATGCTTTATATGCTTGTGTGTGGTGCACAGGGATTTCTAATAAAAATCACCCAGACAAAGAAACCAAGATCTTAGTTCATTTAAGTGGACTAAAATGAAGTTGCTTCCTTAATTAAGATGGTACGTCAAAACGGTGTGACTGAAAACGTTGGGAAGTTGGAATGATTGAATGAATTTCTGACCCTTGATTTACCAACTAATGGGCGTCGGCCCTGAAGGTGTATGGATAGATTTAGTGACAGTGCTTGCATACTCCCCATTTCTCCACTGCACACACACCATTCAACTTCTGTTTACTTTTTCCTGCTTTTAAGCCGTTGGTATTTTACGAATGCAAAAGCGGAATTTCTATCAGACCTGTTGGAGTGTAAAAAGAGCCAAAGCTTAAAGCCTGTAGTGTATTTGGGTGGCTTCACCAACTGTCTCATAAACAAAAAAAAAGCCTATATCAAAACAGTCATTTGTGTAGAAACCCCAAACCTTTTTCGACCAGTGGATTAGTGCCAGATTAAACAAAAAAACTAGCCAAAACCACTCAGACACTGATTGATACATCTAAGAGATTTGTAGTCATTTAGAAAGATCTTGCTTCCGTCAAAACAAGAAAACTTTACAAAAAAAAAGCCCTCTCCTGAAAACTGACTTTTGCCCCCCTCCCCCCTTCAAGGTTTTACCCTGGGATTTAATGGAATTAATCCCTCAAGAAAGAAGTCTGTGGACTGATTTCCATTATAAAAAAAAGAAGACACAACAGCAGCCTGATGGCACTGATTTTATTGACGCGGCAGCGCTGGAGGTGAAAAAGACTTAATTCCACTTGAGCGGCGATGAAGGAACCAGGGAGGTTATCAGAAGTTTGAGGAATGTTGATTGCTGAGATTGGTTGGAATCACATTATGGACTTCTTTTTACAGGACAAATATGTTGCTGCTAAATAATGCTCACGCCCCAAATAGATCTGAGCAGAATTGTTTGGTTGAAACTTTAAAGCAAATGCGGCACACACATTGCAAGTCAAGATGTACTGAGTGGACACATCAGCACAGCTGTTTAGTGTACTGGTACCATTTTTTTTTTTTCATGATGTCCACATGCATGCAGTGATGGTATCATCCGGACATGAAATAGCATCAGAACGTTGTCCAGATTATTGACTCTGCACATCCAAAAGATGCCAACCAAACTTAATGCTTTACTCTAGAATTAATGAGGCAACGTGGAAGTGACATGTATTTACATGTACCATAGAGCAAGGAACAGACATAATATTGTGTGCAAACTCAAAAATCAGAGGTGTTCTTAATTTTAGGCACTAGACTTAGACGACTGTGCGTTTGATTTCTTGATACGGGCAAAAGTTGTGATTTCCCAAAAAAACACACCAAAAAACAAGATTGTTTTTCTTCCAGGGGTGCTGGGAGGTTTTTTTGCCATCCTTTCATTAACTGACAACCATTATCTAACAGAGGCAGACGACTGTGATTTCCTTTTGTCTCTTTTCTTGCACTCCTGGTCCTCAATCCCTTTTCACCAGTTTAATCCATTAGTTCATTTGCCTCTTCCCTTCAATGATGAAGTCAACTCCTGTTCCTACTGTTACGTAACCCAAACTCTGCTGTCTCATTTTAGTCCCTAATGC